CACAGCCGCATACACACGTGTGTGTGTATGTGTATGTGTGTGTCAAGTGTCCTCTGCGGGCGGGAAGGGAGGGGGGAAGGGAAGGGGAGGGGGGGAGGGAGGGGGTGGGGACTCCCCACTGGGGAGGTTGTATTCCCCACCGTATTGTTTGGGCTGCACGTCATGTGCTGTGTGTGTGTATTGTGGGTTTTACTGTTTTCCCGTGGGATTCTAATTCCCGCCGCGTATGTAAAACGTGTGTGTATAAGCCCCCACACCTACCCTCCACGAATACCCTCTCCCTCCCCCACCCCTTACGCGGGGTGCGCCTGGTACGGGTATACGTACCCGTGTACGACAGATGTGATGCAGGACGTACTGCAGGATCTGTTCAACCACGCCGCACCGCGGCCGCCGGCTGACGAAGACGGGCTGGTCGCTGGCGGCAGCGGCGGAGACAGGCTTCCGCCGTACCAGCGTACGGCACCCTTTCAGGGATTGCTTTCACGTTTTGCGCTGCATGCGCTGCTGTTTGGTAACGCCCGCGCGGTGGTTTGGCTGTGGCAAAGGTGCGTGTATGCATGTATGTATGTCATGTCAAGATTAGTTTCTACGTTCGGTAAATACATTCAATGGCCCAACGGCCGAAATTATAAGGGTTTTTTTTATTAAAAAACTTTTTACAAAGAAATTTACAAAAAAAATGAATTTCCTCTCCTCCTCTTTTCCGGCCCTCACCCGCCGCTTCATCATGACAGGTTCGTTAGGGAGTTGCGATTCAGTTGCTGGGAGGTTGACCGCCCCCTGCCGCGAATGCCACTTACAACCACCACTACAACCGCCGAAACGAGCAAGGCAGTTGCCGCAACCGCCACCATCATCACTGCGGCGCCGAAGTCAACCAGAACAACGTCGCCGCCTTCCGCTACGGCCGCCGACACCGCCATTGCCAGCACCGCCGCCGCCGACACCGCCATTGCCAGCACCGCCGCCGCCGACACCGCCATTGCCAGCACCGCCGCCGCCGACACCGCCATTGCCAGCACCGCCGCCGCCGACACCGCCATTGCCAGCACCGCCGCCGCCGACACCGCCATTGCCAGCACCGCCGCCGCCGACACCGCCATTGCCAGCACCGCCGCCGCCGACACCGCCATTGCCAGCACCGCCGCCGCCGACACCGCCATTGCCAGCACCGCCGCCGCCGACACCGCCATTGCCAGCACCGCCGCCGCCGACACCGCCATTGCCAGCACCGCCGCCGCCGACACCGCCAATGACAGAGCCGACGACGACGACGACACGGCCGCCGCCGGCAACGCTGGCGGTACGGAATCCGATGCTGCCGACGGAGGCAAACGTAAAGACGATGGCGACGTTACTGAAGGTGACGACGGCGGCGGCGGCAGTGACGGTGGTTCGCGGGGTTTTTCCGATATTGAGCGGCTGTTGCGGCAGCAGCAGCAGCAACAACGGCACGAGGATCCCCCACCCCCGTCCCCCAATTTGAAACACTGCTTGTTGCATCAAAAGCTGCAGGTGAGGGTGGGGGTGCGAGTGCGGGTAAGGGATGGGTGAGAGTGTATGTGCGTACGTATGTGTGTATGTATGCATGCATGCTGAAATAGGTCGTATAGTACAGCACCATATAAGGCCCACAAACCCTAAGTAATGAAAAGATTGCTCCAACCGACTCACCAACGAACTGATCAACCAACGGTCTTTAGGTAAATAATCTTTTCTTAACAGGAAGTTTTACTTAGGACTTCTTAATCATCAGTATTGTGACTTCAACCTTTTTTGGCCCGGCTGGTGCGACCCAATCCTTGCAGGTGTTGGACGTGTGTATCTACAGGTACGAACGTGTCGTACAGCAGCACGCGTGTAAGAAAGAGATCAGCGTGTACGACAATACGGCAGTTTAACGTGACCATCCAACAAGCATGTCATAAACTCATGGTCACGTTAAACTGCCGTATTGTCGTACTTTGTTCTACTGGTCATTTTGGGAAAGGGAAAGGGGAGCGGGAGGAGGGGACTGGAGGCCATTGTACTTCTATTGGGAGGGGGTGGGGCTGTTTTTGGATTCCGTACATCCTGCCATCCTTCCACATTCTTCCGTACGTCTCCCAGCCGCTCTCCCCCTCCAACCCCCGAGGGGGGAAAGGGGGGAACTCCGGTAGCTGTGTTTTCCCTTCTGGACTCGCACGCACATGACCTCATCATCGGATTCGCCCTCCTCCCGTTTTTTCAGGCCCCGGGCCGCACACCCCACATACACAGACATACAGACATACACACGCACATATGCCTCTTCTGCTTCGCCACCGCCTCAGACGCAAGATGCTGGCAAGGCAGCAGCACCTGGTACGGCACCTGGAGGACGAGCAACTGAAACTGCAACCGCCAATCCAACCGCCACAACCACCACTACAACCACCTAGCCAACGCCATCCAGACGCCGTTGTTCCAGGCGGATGGGAGTGGGGCCCGGATGGTGAGGAGGGTGATGGCGGTTGGTGGACGCAACCGTCCGACAGTTGGGATAACAGACAAGAGCAGTTAATAAAAGGTAGCGGCCAAGATAACGGTCGTGACGACGGCGGCGGCGGCGGCGGTGGCGGAGATGTTGGGTTTGCGATCCGGAGTCGTACACGGAAGGCGAATAGTCAGCGTCACGGCAAGAGCGGCGGCGGCGGCGCGGCAGCTGAGGGTCTCACAAGAAGTACGGCAGCAACCTCCCCAACACGGCATACAGAACACCCCGCTGCCGCCGCCGCCGCCGCCGCCACTGCGGTGATCGCCGTCGGTCAATCGCCCGGCGAAGGCGGCGGCGACGGCAGCAGTAGCAGCCGCCACAGTAATAGAAGTAGCCCTGGCGCGACCACCGCCGCCGCCGCCGCCGCCACCAGCGTTGTTGTTGTTGGCGGCGCTGTTTCGTCTCGCCGCCAGTTGTGGAACCCCGGTCAGCGACATTCAGGAATGTTATATCCCGTGCCCAGTACGACAGACACCGAAGCGTACTACAGCGCCGGGGAAGAGCAGGACGAGCAGCCGCAGCCGCCTCAGCCGCGGCGGCAGCAGCAGCAGCAGAATTTCACGGCCGGCTTTGCCGACGGCCGTCATGGTGATGAAAGCCGCTCGCGGGCGGCGGGGCCGCCGCCACTGCCGCCGCCGCCGCCGCCGCCGCCAGCACCGGAGCCGCCACTGCGGCAAAGCCGGCGGCAGCGGCGGCCCCTCTGCCGCATCCGCGTCCCCGCGCTCACTCAGAGCGCTCCGGTACTTAGCGAGGATCGCATGCTGGAGCGACAAGCGGCACTGGAGGGACTGGCAGCGCATCCACAAGGTAGGTTTTAGGGTTTTAGGGTTTTAGGGTTTTACATCGGGGTTTTAGCATGTCTAGTGTCGTTGGCTGTTAAGTTGGCCCTAAAACCCTGAAATCCACTAACCGCCAAACCACCCCCGTCCCCCTGACAGGCGGTGAGCTGGCCAGAAAGATGAACAGCGAACAGCTGGTGTCAGATATGGCCGCATTTAAGGTGGGTGTGGGATTTGAACCGGGGTGGGTTTTAC